GGTTCACACTTGATCGCGTCTGATCGATGAAAAAATTTTTATGGAACGACCTTCAGTCGCGACGACGTGCTCGAATACGCCGTCGCGAACCGCTGCCCGGGGTGGGAACAAGAAATACGCGCGAGACCGCGGCGACGAGGGGGGACGCTTTCTCCGAGCTAGGGTCCCTCGTGTATCGATTCAACTCTACGCGCCCCCGAGACCACCCGGCGCCTTCTCCGCGGGCGACGCCCCCTTCCCCGCCGCCGCCGCCGTCGTCGTCGTCGTCGTCGTCTCCGCGCCGCCGACCCCGAACACGACGTCGTCGTCGTCCATCCGCGCGCGTCTCAGCACCTCCTTCTGCCTCTCGGTCAAAAACTTCCCCTTCCGCAGCGCGTCCAAAGCGCTCAGCGCCGCCTCCTGCCCCGCCGTGAGCGCCTGCCCGCGGTCCCGCGCCCTCGCGGCGCGTTCCAACGCGTTCCTCGGCGTCGGCGGCGTCGGCGGCGGCGTCGGCGTCGCGCGCGCCCCTCTCCGCGCCGGCGTGAACCCCCCGAACCCGTCCGGGGTGACGAGCGCGGGGAACGTCGCGGGCGTGTTCGCGGGCGCCGCGTACGCCGCAAGTTGGGACCCCGCGCTGCCCGTGGAGGGCGTCCAGCACGGGTACTTTTGGCCGCCGCCGCCGGCGACGTCGTCGGCGGGGGTGAACGGCGACGCGGACGCGCCCGCGGCCGCGCCGCCGAGACGTTCCGCGCGCTGCTTCTCCACCGCGCGCGTCAGCGCGCCCTTCTCCGCGAGCGTGAGAACTTTCCCGTCTAACGTCTTCGCGAACAGCGCGCGGACTCGCTCGCTCCCGGGGGTGCCGCCGTCGACGCCGCTTTGGTCGTTTTGGTTTTTTTGGCACTCGCCGCCGCTGCCGCCGCCGCCGCCGCCGCCGCCGCCGCGCGCGTTCGGCGGCGTCAGGTCCAACGCGCCGCCGCCGCCGCCCTCTTTCTTTTTCCCCGAACCCGTCTTCTCCCCTAAAAGCCGCGCTCTCAGCTTCGCGAGCGCCTCCGCGCGGTCGGTCGGCGACGCGCCGAGCGGCTCAAAGTACGGCGACGTCGACGCGCTTCGTCCCGGGCTCCGCCATCGCTCCCCTTGGCTCCCGCGCGCGCTCTCGCCTCTTCTTCGCCGGCTCGACGAGAGCTTCACGTCGCCGTATCCTAACGGCTTCGCGAGGTACGGCGACGGCGGCGTGGACGTTCGCGCGCTGCTGGACGGACGCGCGGAGGACGCGGCGCGCGAGGACGACGCGTCGCCGTGATGATGACGTTTCGACGACGACGAAGACGACGATCCGCGCGCTGCGCCTGACGATCCTAGTCCTCCGCCGCGAACGCGCGCGGCCTCTAGGATGGACGGGAACAGCAGACGCGGGGAGTTGACGCCCTCGCCGTCTTTCGCGAGCGCGCGCTCGAGGACCCCGGGCTCGAGTCCCAAGACGTGCATCGACGGGCTCGCCCTCGAGGCGCTCCCGCGCGCCATCGCGCGGCGGGGACTGAGACCGTTGTTCCCCTCTCTTCTCGGAAAAAGCAAGTTACGACGACGACAATAATCTGAGTCAGCAGCACCGCTACTGAGAACCGTCCGTCGCGCACAGCTCGAGGCCCCGAGCTCGCGACATGGCGCCGCCGCCGATCCCCGGCGGCCGCGGCGGCGGCCGCGGCCGCGGCAAGGGCGGGTACAAGGGAAGGATGGGGAAGCGCTTCAAGAAGGAAAAGGACGGCGGCGACAAGCCGAAGAGGAAAAAAACAGGATTCGGCGTGGTGGGCGTCCTCGGCCTCTTCGCGTCGCTCCTCGGCGCGATGACCGCGCTCGCGGTGCGCGAGACGAAGAAGACGTCGCAGAAGAGCGACGACGTCCGCAGAAGGCTCCTGAGCCGCCCGAGAGCGTACAGCAAGCACGCGGCGTGTCGCATGGACTGCCGAAAGGTCACGGACGAGGACGCGGAGAACACGCTGCATCGCGGCGCGCTCAGCGACCGCCACTCCACGCCGAGCGCGCGGCCGTGCCCGCGGTGGGCGCTCGAGGACGGACGCGTGCGCGCGGTGTGGGCGGAGTGTCGAGACGAGACGCGGCTGGTCACCGTCATCGACACGGTCACGGACCACCCGTGCGGACCGTGTTGAGCACGTCTACGAACACCTACACCTACACCTACGACCCTACGACGCCGCCGCGGCGATCTCATCAGTCTAATCCTAATCTCTCTAATGAGCGAACTCGCTCACGCGGCGGCGGCTTCCTTGAACAGCTCCGCGACGAGCCGCGCGAGCACGTTCACGCGCGTCGTCGCCTCCGCGACGTCCTTCTCCCGGATCGCACCGCCAAACTTCCCCGCGAACTTATCCGGATGCCATCGGAGCATCTCCGTCCGTAACATCTTCGAGCGAATGTCGGGGTGGAGTTGAAAGGCGTCAGTTGGAGTTGAAAGGCGTCGAGGGCGGGGATTGAAACCGGGGGGTGGGCGAAGAGAAACGCCGGGCAAAGTCCTTAAGGATCGGCGTTCACCACGCCGACGGGGTCGTATGGGGACCAGTGTATAGAACGCGCCTTCCTCGACTCCGCCGCGCCCGCGGCGCCCCTCGTCAACGCCGCGCGCAACGCGCGCTTCGCCGCGACCGCGTCGCCGGTCAACACCCTCGCGCTGACCGGCCACGGAACGTCGGTCAACCTCAGGTCGACCGCGCCGCCGTCGATCATCGCCGCGGCGCGGCCCCATCGCTCGCGGTAGGAGGCGGCGGCGGCGGCGGCGGCGTTTCGGGACGTCTTCTCGCGCCACTCCGCGTCCTGTCTCCGCGCGTCGTCCAACACGCGCTGCGCCTCCGCGTCTCTCGCGCGCGTCGCGTCCGCGTGCGCCCGCGCGACGTCCTCCCTCGAGCGTCTAGGGTTTCCGTCTAGGGTTTCCGAAACCCGCTTCCGCTTCCGCGCGCTTATGCCCTCCTCGACGTACCTCCGGTACGCTTCCTCCTCCTCGCGCCATCGATACGCGTCTGGATCGTCCTCGTCGCCGTACGACTCGAAGAACGCTCGGTGCGACTCGCCCGCCTCCACGCCGCCGCCGCCGCCGCCGAACTCGTCGATCTCGCCGCCCGCGAACGCGGCGTCCATCAGTTTCTCGCGCCATCGACGCGCCTCGTTCGCCGCCGCGCGCGCGCTCGCGTCGCCGAATCCTTCGTAGCCGTCGTCGTCTCCGCCCCCTCCCCCTAAACCTCTCCCCCCGGACTCCGCGCGGCGCCGCTCCGCGCGGCGCTCCGCGTGCGCGCGCGCGCTCGCCGCGTGCGCCTCGTGCGCCCTCTCCGCGAGCGCGGTCGGCGTCTCCCCGCGCGCGTTCCTCGCGTGCGCGCTCGCGCCGTGCTTCCGCAAGCGCTCGACGGCGCGATCGCGCACCGCGGCGTGACGCGCGAGGAGATGCGCGGGCGTGTTCCCGTCGGCGTCCACCGCGGCGACGTCCGCGCCGCGCTTTAAGAGCCACGCGATGACGTCGTCCGCGCCGGCGTCGCACGCGAGGTGGAGCGCGGTGCGCGCGCGGTCGAGTTGGACAGCGCTTCGCGTCTCGAGATCCACGGCGGGCGCGCGTCGCAGTCGCTTGGCGTACTTCTTCACGCGATGCAGCGAGCCCTTCCGCGCGCCGCGGAGGAGCTTCTGGTACGTCTTCGCGTCTCCGGAGAGCTCGCCGTCGTCGCGCCCGGAGGAGGAGGGCGAGCCGCCGCGCCCCATCCTCCGGTCGCGCGCCCTCTTCTGATGACGATGACGACGCGTTCCGTTTGATGATGACAGTTGTAGACCAGACTCATCGCGCGCGAGAGGGATGCCGTCGTCGACGCGCGCGGCGCTCGCGCTCGCCGCGGCGGCGTTCGATCGCGTCGCGTCCGCCGCGCGCGCGTCCTCGTCCTCGTCCTCCGCGGCGCGCCTCTCAGCCCGCCGCGCGCTCTCGTCGTCGTCGTCGTCGTCGTCGTCGTCGTCCGATCCGTCGGAGATCGCGCGGTCGATCGAGGAGACGATCGCGAGGTGCGTTCTATCTCACACTAGTTCCCATACGACCGCGTTGGCGTGGTGAACGCCATTCCTTAAGGACTTTGCCCGTCGTGTCTCTCCGCCCAGGGTCCCTCGCTTTCAATCCCCGCCCTCGACGCCTTTGAACTCCACCTGACGCCTATGAACTCCACCCCGACGTTCGCTCGTATGGAACGACCCTGAGGACGGGCGCGACGCCGCCCGAACGTCTGCGCGAGCTCCTCGGCGTCCTCCGCGCGCGCGGGCACGCGCTCGTGCTCCCTACCGCGCGGTTCGAGGACGAGGACGCGCACCCGCTCGTCGTGCCCATCGCGCGCTTTCGTCGCGACGCCCTAAACGACGACGACGACGACGGCGACGGGACGATCGGCATCCTCCTCCGCCCGTCGACCGTCACCGGCGCGGTCCCGAAGACGCTCCCCGTCGTCCGATGCGGCCCGGGCGGGATCGACCTCCTGAGCCTCGACGCGTCGTCGCACGTGCACCGCGCGCTCGTGGAGGAGGACGCGGAGAAGAGAGGCGGCGCGGCGTCGTCCGACGCCGACGCCGCCGCCGCCGACGACGACGACGACGTTGACGACGAATACGCCGACGACGCGCGAACCGCGGCGGGCGCGTTCGGCGCGTCGTTATACGTCCCCGGCACGCTCGCGGCGTCGTCCTCGCGCGACCGCCCGGACGTCTTCGTCCACCGCAACGTCGCCGGGCGGTTCCCGGACATCATGGAACGGCTCGCGCGCGCGCACGAGCGCAAGGGCGACGCGCTGTCGCATCTCGTCACGTGCGAGTGGTACGGCGCGTGCGCGGCGTTCGCGGGTTGGGGCCGACCGCAGGCGTTCAACGCGCGCGCGCTCCTGAAGCACGGCCGCGCCGCGGAGGCGAGGGACGCCGCGCGGGTGTCGCTCGCGTCGAGCCCGTGGTACACGATCGGGCGAAGGCGCGGCGGCGCGCGGGAGATGCTGGAGATCTCCGGGCTCGCGGCGGCGGCGGAGGCGAAGCGGTGGAACGCGAGGGACCTGCGGCGGATGCTCGAGACGGGGGGGGAGGCGCACGAGGCGGCGGCGAGGGCGATGGCGGGCGCGATGAGCGGCGGCATGGGCGGCGGGGAGGAGGGAGAGAAGGAGAAGGAGAAAGGGAAGAAGAACGACGACGCGTTCGTCGCCGCGATGCGCGCCGCGGAGTCGGCGATGGACGCGACGGCGTTGGGGTTGGACGCCGACGGCGGCGACGGGCTCGCGTGGGCGGACGCGCGCGCGGACGTCGCCGCCGCGTACGACGACGCCGGATTATCGCCGCTCGCGTCGTTCGTTCGGGGGGGCGGGTCTCGAAGGGTGTGAAGTGCTTCCGTAGCGCGCGTGTAACGTAACTGCGAAGGTAACAACTTATTATCAGTACCCTTGGTCTACAGGTGTTCTAACCCGCGTGACAGTAGCACACGGGGGGGAACGCGAGAGGGGCGATCCCGTCCTCTCCGTCTTGCTCGCCGCACACGCACGCGTCCGGGGTGTGGCACGTCTTCGAGTCTCTGAACCACAATCCCGGGTCGTGGTCCAGCCTGTACTCGACCACGCCGCTGCACGCGCAGACTTCGTCGACGGAGCCGTCTTCATACACCCGCACGTGACCACGTATGTTGTCGTGATAGGGAGCGCCGATCGCCACGCGCGTACCGTCCGAGGACATCGATACCGTCCACCCAAAATGGCCGTTCCCCGGCTCTCCGTCGTCGTTCGCAGCATCGCCGTCGATGTCAGCGCCCACCTGGTTCCACGTCCCGCCGCTCTCCGCGTACACCCGCACGTGACCAACGTCGTTGTCGCTCCCTTTCGCGCCGATCGCCACGCGCGTGCCGTCCGAGGACATCGATACCGAGAACCCGGAGCCGTCGGTCGCAGCCTCGCCGTCGATGTCGGACCCCACCTGGGTCCACGTCCCGCCGCTCTCCGCGTACACCCGCACGTGGCCGGCGTTAAGGCCAGTGCCACCGCCGTCGTTCCCATATGCGCCTATCGCCACGCGCGTGCCGTCCGAGGACATCGATACCGAGTGCCCGGAGTGGTCCAACTCAGCCTCGCCGTCGATGTCGGCGCCCACCTGGGTCCACGTCCCGCCGCTCTCCGCGTACACCCGCACGTGGCCGTCGTTATTGCCAGCGACGTCGTTGCCGGGCGCGCCGATCGCCACGCGCGTGCCGTCCGAGGACATCGATACCGCGTACGCGGATGAGTCCATTGCAGCCTCGCCGTCGATGTCGGACCCCACCTGGGTCCACGTCCCGCCGCTCTCCGCGTACACCCGCACGTGGCCGGCGGTTGTGCCAGCGCCGTCGTTCCCGGTCGCGCCTATCGCCACGCGCGTGCCGTCCGAGGACATCGATATCGACCATCCGGAGAGGTCACCCGCAACCTCGCCGTCGATGTCGGACCCCACCTGGGTCCAAGTCCCGCCGCTCTCGGAGTACACGCGCACGTGGCCGGCGACGTCGCCGGCGCCGTCGTTGTAGATAGCGCTGATCGCCACGCGCGTGCCGTCCGAGGACATCGATACCGAGAACCCAACTTGGTCACCCGCAGCCTCGCCGTCGATGTCGGACCCCACCTGGGTCCAAGTCCCGCCACTCTCGGAATACACGCGCACGTGGCCGGCGGAGTCGCCGGCGCCGTCGTTCAAACGTGCGCCTATCGCCACGCGCGTGCCGTCCGAGGACATCGATACCGAGTACCCGGAAAAGTCATACTCAGCCTCGCCGTCGATGTCTGACCCCACCTGGGTCCACGTCCCGCCGCTCTCAGCGTAGGCGTCGGCGCATTTAGTCCGCTCGCGGAGCGGCGCCGCCGCGCAGGACTTGTCGAGCGTGAATTCCTGCAAGCCGTATCCCATCACGCTCTCAGACGTCGCGTACCGGCCAGGGTTCCGGTTGTTCCAGTTGTTCAACACGTCCTCGGTCGCGACGCAAATCGAGGCGGCGGTGTTGTACGAAAGCACGTACCCCGCGTCGATCGCGTTCCACGCGCACTCGCCCGGGATGTGAGGGAGCGCCGGCGTCTTCGATATCGAAAACCGAATCATCTTGCACCAGTTATCCGTGCTCTGATATCCAAACACGTACTCGACCGAGGTCTCGTTAACGCTCGCGACGTGGACGTTACCCGTGCGGGTATTTACGATGGCCCCACCGATGGTGTACGTCCCCGTGATGTTAATGTCCCCGGGTCGGCGGCATTTCCCCAACGGAAGCGTCGTCGCGCCGCCCGTCTTCATCACGACGCCGGCTTCGCACGTCGCGCGCGCGCACGCCTTGTCGTACCGAATCGCGCTGACCGAGTATCCGTACGACGTCCTCGCGTCCCAGTTCGCGATCACGTCAGCGGTGGAGACGCACCTCCCTTCGCTCGGCGGGGTCGTGAAGTATCCCGAGTCCACGTTGACGCGAACCGAGCACGTCTTCGCGATCGCGTCTCGCGTCACGACAACCTTCGCCATCTTGCAATACGTCGGGTCTCGATACGCCACCACCCAGTGCGCCTCGGCGTCGTCGCCGTACACGCCGTACAGATGGATGTCCTCGCGCGGCGCCCAGTGACCGCCGGGGATGGCGGCGCCGTACATGTACGCCGTCGTCGGGGTGATATCGCTCGCGTGGGCGCAGTATCCGACATTCTCGGGCGCGCCGTCCGCGGGCGGATTGGGGATCCAGTGATCGACCGAACACGCCTCGCCGTCGGGCGCGGCGCCCTCTCGGCTCGCGTCGCCAAACAAGCAGTAGCGTCGCGCGAGCGCGCCGGTGACGGCGTCGCGGAACCAGTACGGCCCGTCCGGCGCGGGAGGGAACGCGTCGTAGATGGCGCGGCAGCTCGGCGCCGGGTGGTCAAACGTCGCGCCCGCGATCGCCGTCGTGCCGTTCGTCGTCGTGCCGTTCGTCGCCGCGCCGTTCGCGCCGCCGCCGCCGCCCGTCGAGAGCATCGCGCCCGGAGGCGCGCAGTCGACGTCGAACCCCAACCGCGCCGCGGGCCCGTTACCGTCGCAGTACGGCAGCTGCCCGGTCCCGGGCGCGGGTCGCGTCTCGTGCGCGGGCGCGGGCGGCAGGTCGCACGTCGTGTCTCCGCCCAACGAGTAATCGTCGCGATAGTTCTTCGTCCCGTACGGACACGCGACGCACGCCTCGTCCTCTACGCGCTCGTTCCAGCCGCACAACACGCCGCACGCGGTGTCGGGGCCCCAGAACGGGTCGTCCCCCGGCGGTCGCGTCGTCCCGAACGGCGCCTGGCAGGGCACGCACTTGTGATCTTCGACGCGTTGGTTGTTCCCGCAGCACCCGCGTCCGTCCACGTACTCGCGCACGACGGCGCGCGGGATCCACGGGTTAACCTTATCGGTCGGCAAGCTCGCGTTTTCCGGTCGGACGAACGCGGCGGCGACGACCGAACCGCCGTCGCCGGAGATGGCGACGCGCGCGCCCCGGGCGAACATCACCCTCGGCGCGGGGTCCCATCTCGTCCCGACGACGGCGCCGTTGATCGAATTATTCCCCACCGGGGTCCAATAGTCGCTCGTCAACGCGTACACCCTCGCGTGCGCGACGTCGAGACCCGTCGCGATTGCGATTCGAGAGCCGTCGTCCGACATCGACACGGACGTCCCGAAATCGGTCGCGGCGAGGTCGGGCGCCGCGATCGGCTCGGCGCCCCTATCGTCCCACGTCGTCCCCCAGCTCGGTCCTCCGCTTTGGTAGTAGACGTACACCTTACCGGCGGCGGCGCACGGGTCCTCCGCGCACGGCGCGCCGATCGCGATGCGATCGCCCGTCCTTCGAAACGCCAAGGAATACCCGAACCTCCCGCTGCTTGTATCCCCTAGCCCACGCGAGATGTTTCCGAGAGGATACCACGCGTCGTAGTACTCGTAATACCGCCATATGTACACCGCGCCGTCGTCGCGGCTTTTATACGCGAGGACGTTCCCGTCCCCGGACAGCGCGGGCTCGAACCCGTGCTCGATCGCGCCGGGTAACCCGCCGTCGACGCCAGCCGGCGCCCACTCCTGCGCGTACGGGTTCGTCCCCATCTTGATCCAGATCCCGTAGGAGTACTTATACGCGTAGACGCGCCCGTTCGCGTCGCCGACGACGATCCTGTTGCCGTCGTCCGAGACGACGACGCTCGCGCCGAACCCGTCGTCCGCGGCGGCGCCGAAGAGAACGTTTCCGTGCGGCGTCCACCCGCCGTTTGAGAACGCGTACGCGCGCACGGCGCCGGCTCGGTTGCCCGCGGGGAGAGCGGTCGCGTCCGCGCTCGGCGCGCCGACGACGAGCGTCGTCGCGGCGCTCGATAACGACACGACGCGGCCGTGCGCGTCGTTCGGGTTCGCGCCCGCGACGTCGTCGCCGAGCTTCGTCCACGCCCCGGAGCCGGGACTGAAGCGGTACACGCTCGCGGAGTTATATCCGCGCGCGTGACCGACCGCGATCGCGTTTCCGTCGGAGCTGATCGCGGTGGACGCCCTCGGTGGCCACGGCGTCCCGGACGACTTCGGCGCGCACTCGCAAATCTTTGCCTCGCCGGGCGCGGGGTCCTGGGCGAAATACTCGGTATTGTGCTCGCAGGTCAGCTTCTTCTGAATTCCTAGGTAAACCGTGTGGTTACGCCAGACATTGCTATCGAAGCGGTTGGTTTGGCACGAGAGTCCGGATCCCTGCATGACTACGTTGCACGCGGCGTTGTCGTTCGTCATCCTGCTGATCCACTGGTTCCCACCTAAACCCATACAGTCTCGAGGAAATCCCGTGCCCGGATCATCGTAGCCGGTACACCCCCAGCACCAGCAGCCCTCTGGACCTGCGCATTCGGCTGCGTAGTCGAAGTTGCAGTTGCCTACTTGACCCTCCTTTCCCGCGAGGGCGTTCTCGTACGTCGTGTAAAGCTCGAAGTCCAAATATTGCTCGTTCTTGTACGCGAACCAGTTGTTGAAGATGTAATAGTAAGGCTTGAAGGTCGTCTTGTCCGTCAAGCGCTTGTAGTACAGCCACTGGTTGCCATTCAGATCGACGCGGATGATGTGATGCTCGGAAGCTTGGAACGTCGCGTCAAACCACTCGGCGCCTTTTGTGTGCGGCGCTTCAATCCAAACGCCGTCGACGACTGGTTCTTCCTGGACCGGTCCATCCGGGTCGCCTTCGGCGGCGGGCACGTCGTAATACGCCCACTTGTCCCCCGTGCCGTACCGCACCACACCAGGGCCGTCGCAATCGCAGGCGTCCCCCTGGACCGCGCATTGCGTCCACTCCACGGGCGCGGCGTCGAAATCGATCGCCTCCGGGCCGACGGGCTCCCACAAGACGCGCTCCTCGGAATCGCACGCCGGAATCGGCGCGCACGTCGTATCCTCCCCGCGCGGATCGTCCCCCGGCGGGTTATCGTACTTGTACGCGCACGGCACGCAGACGTGCCTTTCGACGCGGTACCCGCGCGCGCAGCCGCAATACGCGGAGGTTAACTCGCCTCGCGGCGAACACGTCGTCGTCGCGTTTGGCGCGTACGCGGGACCTTCGCACGTCGGCTGACACGACGTCCCCGGGGTCAAGGGATCGACGCAGGTGCCGACCGCGCCGTGCAGCGGCGGCGCGCTCGCGTCGCAGTCGCAGTGCGTCTCCTCGCCGTTCGACGGGTCGTCCCCGGCGGCGTTGAGGGATCCCGCCGGGCACGCCCGGCATTCGCCGCGCGTCGCGTTCGGGCCGACGAGGACGACTCTGAAATCCTTCGCGCACAGACACCGCGTCGCGGACGTCACCGTCGACGAGTAGCCGTCGAACGGGTCCCCGGTACACGCGACGTCGCCGTCCGCGACGTACCCGGTCCCGCACGTGGGTTGGCACGCGTCGCCGACCGCGAGCGTCGTCGCGTTGCCGCACGTCCCCGCCGCGCCGTGCGCGGGGGGGAAGATCCCGGATATGTCGCAGTCGCAAAACGATCTGTCGGCGAACGGGTCGTCGCCGCGCGCCTTCTTCGCGCCGTTCGGGCACGCTTCGCATTCGCCCCCGGCGCCGCGGAAATCCGCGGGGCAGACGCACGCGGTGTCGTCCCCCGCGACCGGATCCCCCGCGGGGTTGACGGCGCCGGGCGCGCACGCGACGCAGGAGTTGTTGAACGCGTGATAATTCATCGCGCACGCGTCGCACGTCGTGTCCGCGCCCGCCCAGTCGTCCCCGGGGCGGCGGGAGTACCCGACGTCGCACTTCACGCAGACGCCGCCGTCGACGCGCTCGTTGGCGCCGCAGCAGTCGTCGGAGATTTCGTACACGCGCGCGAAGCCGTTGTTCGGGCCGTCGTAGTCCGGTTCGTAGTTCGGGTAATGCGGCGTGCCGCCGACGACGCGTCTGCCGTCGCCAGAGATGGCCACCGACTGTCCGAATCGCCACGCGCCTTGGAACGCGTCCATGTCCTCGCCGACTTGCGCCCAGTACCCAACCGTCGTGAAGCCCGTCACGTCTTGAGCGTAGTCGTAGTAGTCGAAATCGTAGTGAGCGAGCAGCGACCGGCGGCGCCTGTAGTACCCGCTGTAGTCATCATACGGGCCTTCGGGCCCGGACGGGCCGTACTTCTCCCACATGGCGTCGACATATTCCTCCGCGGAAATCACGCCGTCGGCGTCGGCGTCGGCGTCCTCGAACGGCACCGGCCAATCAATATTCCCGTTGTTGAACTCATAAGCGTCGATGACGCCGTCGCCGTTGGGGGATCCTCAGAGTCGAC